CTGCTGTAAGCAACCATGTCTCCGTCCCCGATGCGAATGGCCCCTTGCGAGCGCGGGGTTCGGACCTTGCCCCGCTGCTGACAGGCCAGCGGCATCGAGCGATGTCGTCCCCGCAGTGATGGCCGATGCAAAGGCACGAGAGCTTGGGTAGCTTCGATCAATTGAATGGCCCCTCATGTTCTCGTATGTCGTCTGATTTCGAGAAATCTGGACGAGCTGAACGGCGCACAGCATAGTAACCCAGACCAGCTGGATGACGATCCACAAGTCCAGCACAAGGGTAAACGGATCCCGCAGCACAAATCCACAAAGTTCTTCATTGATGATGTTGCATGCAGGTTCCACAGGTGCAGGTAAAATGTTGAAGTCTATTGATCCTGATTAGACGGGTTCCAAGCCTTCGTCCCGGGGTACTAAGCTGATACTTACACTTATATGTCAGCTGCAGAAACAGAATGATCCCGATTTCCAAGCAGATAATGTACACAACGAAATGGCGCAGATTGTTTGCTCCCACGCAATTGTCGATCCAGGGACAATGGCTGCATCTCAAGTTAGGACTCTCATGGCTGGGAAAATAACGTACATGGGTGGGACTTACTGGTCATGCTTTGCAACGCAGCGCGAACAGCGTTTGCAGTGCTTGCTTCTCAGCGGCTTGCGAACCATGCAATATACACAGAAGTTCTCCTCGTCAAACTTCCACTGCTCAAACAGCTCGGATATCACGGCTCTTTGCTGGTTTCGACTACCCGTCTTCGGAACAAAGCCGGGGTCCTCAATCATGGAGTAGATGTAGAAATATGTTGTTAGGCAATAGAACACCGCGAACAATACATTCAGGATTGGAGACGTGGAATACGTTGCTAAAGCGCAAGTGGTTAGTACAGAGCAGTAACATGGTGACAGTAAGCCTACCTGGCAACACGCTGAAAACATATGTGAAACCAACCCAAAACAAGGTACCCGCAAAGACACCTGACAGATATGGCTGGTTACGCGTCAGCCATCAGGTCAAGGATCGACTAAATCAGTGCAGGAAACCAGCGACAGGAGAACCATACCGTTTTCTGGAGCACCCTGTATTCCGAAGGGGCTTGACTCGCCGCCTTTTGTGCGACCCACTGCAGCCCGAATGTCACTACAAGCATTATAGGTATAGCAGCGTAGACAACCATGTTGCTAAGGATGTAGACAGCCGTATAAACCATCAGGAATGGCCACAGGAAGAAGAACTTTGACATCACGCTCTTATTCCGCACCCAAGACGTGAGCCCCATCGGCAGAACCTTGGTGTTTCCATCCATGTCGTAACCGCACTCATCAAGAGCACGATACCAGACCCGCGTCGTGTTCATCTCACCGGCCACAGTGGCCGGCGTCTTGCCATCTCTCGTCTTCGCAAACCGATCCGCACCGTACTCGATGAGCTTCTGCACGCATGGTAATGACCCTTTGACCAATGCCCAATGCAAGGGGGTCAGCCCACCGTCATCGAAGGCATTCACATTGGCGCCCCAGCGCAGGAACAGATCCACACAGGCAGGATATCCCTTATACGCCGCCCACATCAATCCCGTATGACCTTGTTGGTCTATAGAATCCACTGGTATCTCCTGGTGTAAGAGGAGCACCAGCAAGAACGCATTCCCATCAATGGTGGCCAAATGTAGAATGTTGTAACCTTGGACGTCGGTCAGAAGGGGATCGGCGCCATGCTGAAGGAGGAGGTGGACTATATAATAGTGACAGCGCTGAGCGGCCCACATGGCCGGTGTTGCTACAGAATCACCACCTTTGGCGTTAACGTTGGCACCGTTGTCCAGCAAAAACTTGCACATGGCGTATTGATTGTTGATCGCGGCCCACTGAGAACCCAGACGAAGCCATTAGTACAGGTCCGAGTGTAATTGCCAACCAACTTAAAGCAGAAGCATTTAATTTGCACTTACATGAAGGGGAGTAATCCCTTCGTCATCTTGGTAATTGGCCGTAAACTTCTTCTCGTCAAACAACCTCTGCATGGGTCCGATTTCTCCGATGCGAGCGATCTGCATGATGTCTTCTCCCAGCGGTATCGAGCCCTTGGGAGGGCTACGATCAGGCCTCATATTCTTGAGTTCAACACTGACATCGTGTTGAGTGACCTTCGGAGGTGTTGTTGCGCCTTTGCTATTGGGTATAGAGGTAGGACTCGTGCTCATGCCTGCAGAGCTGCTGCTGCTTTGCGGTTCCGTAGAAGAAGTCCCGGAAGACATTCCTTTCGCAGTACGTGAGGCGCCGTTTCGTCAGAGAGAAATTTAAGTCGATCCGACTTTGAGAAACGAAGAACGCTGGTAGTGAGGACGGTACAGCGTGAAGCGTTCGGAGATGACGATCACAGACTTCGGGCTTATAGGCACATCGCGATATTGACAAAGTGGTCCACAATACTTGATCAATATTCTCCAAGATAGTAATCTATAGAGCTCTGAGAGGAAAGATAGGGGAGGAGGAAAAGAGAACAGATGGAGGAAATGCACAGGACAAAAATACGGGGATGCGCTGATCGGAGTAAGTCCCGCGCAACAGCGCTACGGACGCTAACAATAATGGTGATTTACACGCAATCAACTTGAAGACCAATCTTTTCTCTTACTCAAAAAATAGCTTTAGGTTGTTTCTCATGAGTGTGATATTGTTGTCTTTTGAATGGGTTAAAAACTTATATTTACGACTATGCCCTCTTGTGTTTTGTTCCTTTCTACAAATAATGTCAATCTGTATGTCGTGTGCCACAGCCTGAGAAGCGATTATTCAGCTGGAAAGGTCGATTAGGCAGCCACATTGCGGTGTAAATTTTTCCATTTTTCTCTCGAATTTCTATCATACGGGTAAGGAGTAATTATTTTGAGGAGATTCATTTCTTCACCAGAGAAGAAAGAAAGTACAGGAGCATGGAGAAGACGATGATGAAGACGACGAGGAAGCTGCCGAGGGGCGAAGAACAAGACATTGGATGGTTCCTGGCGTCGTTCCTGAGTACGCAAGTCTATAAACAAGTTTTCAAAAGTTCCCCAATTCCTAGCCAGGGAGTTTGAGATACCCCTAGCTCATTTATGGCGGAAAGGTCTCCGAAGGATGAAGGGACGATGGAATAGAGCTAAGCCATCTCTGTGAGAACCAGATCCATGCTGCTTCGAAGAGATTGTGCTTGATCAGCCAACATCTGAGCATCAACACGTAGATCGAAGTCCGTCAGAAAACAAAAGCTGACTTCCAGCCTGGAGAGCTCCCGCTCGCTCACTCCCCCAACCTTGGCAACGCGGCTGTGGGGATAGCTGAGATCTTCGAGAGCTTTCATGGCCACCCGAAGGCCAGCCAGCACCAGACGGTGCATATTTTTGCCATTCACAGATATCACTCTGTCCACCGTGGCCAATCTCGTGATGTAGATGCTTGTAGCGAGGTACACCGCTGTAGACATCGGGCAATACCGATGGAGTCGCAGTAAGTAGTCGCGCAGGCTGATAGGTGGTTCCCTTTTCGAGAGAAACCTCTTGGACAACATGCTCTGCTGAATGCGATCCCGAGCATTCTCTTCATGACTGATTGGAGAGCAATGTAGTTCGATGATCTTGGTAGGCGTGGCTTCTCCGCTGGATAAGCTGTCGCTGCGTGTCATGGAGGCTGGTGCGGAACCCGCAGCCAGGACAGGCTCGACGACTTTGCCAACACTGGGCCTGGCGAGAAATTCCACATTGACACACAGTAGCTCGAGAGCCGTAGCCGGCAAGATGTCGAAGACTTCGGCAGCACGACCGAAACCCATCTCACCTTCTCCCTTTGACAAATCCGAGCCCGCTTGCGCATTTGAGTCTGGAGACAAGGCTTGGGCTCCCTCACCCTGGGTGCGACATCCGTTCATTATGGCAGCCACAGACAGTTGACAGAGTGAGCGTGGCGGTTCTGAAGACAACCCTGAAAGCTGCAGGTGAATATGAGCGCCTCTGGTAAGAGTACCATTGTGGGACCGAGCCCGGCGTGCAATAGTCGGATTAAGTCGAGCCTTATAGCGCCTGACCGTAGGACGAACAGCGGTGAAAGGTCAACCTGCTGGAGAGCAAACGCGTCTGACTATCACGGCACGAGGAGGAAGTAACACTTGCCCGCAAAGCCACTATGTTGACCGAGACATCGACAAGGTCGTTGAATAAATGGTAAAAGGCGCGACCGTAGAGATTCAAGCCTTACAGAAACCGGACAGTCAATCTCCGATTCCAGAATCAAACAGTGCATTGTCAAATGTTGTGCCAGAGCTACTCACCCCAAAAAAAAATATATTTCTTGGACTGCAAAGGTGATGAAGGGGATGGAGGATGCCGAGGCACGGTGGAGATTAAGGATAAAGGAAGAGAGACTCGCTACCGATTCGTATCACATCATAAGAATCATCATCTTTATGACATGCTGTTTGCGATAAAGGTCGACTAGAGAAAAAGGAGATGGTCAATAGTCAGAAGGTCAGCAGCCCAAACTCAGGATGCAATGAAACTATCGGACATTATTTCGCCCGGCTTTTCCCCGTGCCAGCTCATCCACAGTCCACCATTTCAACAAGCTATTTAAGCTTATGGCTTCTCACAAGCGTTTTGAATGGCTTTTGTGAGATTGTGCTCCTATCATCACAATGTGCGACATGCGCATAGATATATGATGAAAGACCGTAGCTTGCATGGTTGGGGTAATAACCCTTGTTGACCTACGGAGTAACTCCTTATCAGCTCCACTGATCACACGTTGATCGCTCAGCAAGTGGTTTGCTTTGAGGAAATTTCGCAAAAAGATTGCAAATTTCTATTGACATTATCCAGATATCAAGTACACGAACATATCTAGAAGCAACTTCTATGGTGCGCCAGACGCCTTCTAAGTAACGCTCAACCTATCTTCTAACCAATCGGAAACTCAAATCTGGAAATGGTTTTGCCTGTGGGCTGTTACAGACAGGTGCTCTCCACTCAGAACCAGCGCTCGTTATGACGCCGACCATCTTTGCTTTCCTCGCGCGAATGGAAGAATCGCAAACGACCAGATCTACCGTTAGATGCTCTTCGATGAGTGCGCAACTCGACGTCACGCAGTGGATTCCCGCGTTGGTGTCGATCCCGGCCCTCTGCCAAAATGCGCTCGCCTGCTTCTGAGATGATACGGGTACCATCTTGGATGATTCGCGGACGGTGGCGGTTGGTCTCTTGATGCTGCTGTCTCACCCTTCCAGGATATGGGGAATGAACTCGTGGATGTGGACTGCTATCTCGCGAATGGCTCGCCCTATTGCTCATGTTCTCGGCGTCTCTGGCAAAACCATTGCTGCCGGGATAGCTTCGATGGGTTGGTGCTCTTGCGTCGATATCCTCTCCTTGATGGAATCCAGAACGGTCGCGAGCCCTGATGCTGTTTACATTCTTTTCATATTCCACGTCGCTGGAGAAACGAACTTGCCGACGTTCTGCGCTCCTACGCTCTCTGTCTTGCGCTGCAGCCGGGTCATTGTGAATTTCCACTACACAGTTGGGACCCTGGCGTGGCCTCCGTTGCTCCGGCTCACGTTCCGTAACTGGTGTTCGTTCCCGGGGAGGTCGTTGCCCACGTGACGGCTGTCGTGATCGAGTCTGGCGGGATAGATCATCAGGATCATTTGCTCGCTCCCTGTCCCTCGAGTTCGGAGATCTTCCTGTCCGTGGTGAAATGCATCGGATGCGGGGCGAAGCTGGCTGCTCGTCGCGCGGTGTCCGCTCCTCGACCTCTGGAAAGTCGACCACAAAGGGACGAGGTGATCTCTGACGGCCGCGGCGCTCGCGCAATGGCTGCCTGTTGCTGGGCTCCGCAGGCCTTCTGAAAATTGGGATTTGGAACGAAAATGACCGGCTTCGAGCTTGTGACGATCTCTGCATCGGTGAAGGATGTCTATGTTTTTCCTGCCACCTTGCCTCCCTGAGCTCCCTGGGCTCGATGGTTCTGTAATTCGGAGAAGCCATTCTTCTGGGATTTCTCGGCTGGGCCTGCCTAACATGGTAGAATTCACCGCGATCATACACTCGAGCGCGGTCGCAAGTCCCCCTGGCGTCGCTGAACAAGCATGTGTGGATCACTTTCCTCGTTCGGATTTCCATTGGATACACATCAGTGAACTTCTCTATCAAGCACATTCCTTCTACTGTGCACTGCAGTATTGAGTTGAAGGGCTCGCAAAGTCCTTGTGATGATATTTGATGACGTCTCAGACGAGCTGTCAATCCAGAATGATGTTGAGCCTTTATATATAGGGTCAGATATGCGCGCCAAAGGCTACCATGTCGAGCGAGTATCGTGCTCGAACGAAGGGCCAACAATGAGCAGAAGTTGCGCATTCTAGTAACAGACAAAGACGATGGGCACTTTGCTATTTTCCAGTTGCAAGACAAGCGAAGATGCGAAACGACATTGTCATCGATGAAAGACATGTGGCCGAAGTCATGAGTTCATAGCACCTGATAATCAAAGGAAGCAGGAAAATGTAAGGGAAACCAATAAAGGATCCTCGGGTTTGCTCAACATGAAGACACATACGAGTTCTCCCCATTGCCCTACGGAGAAAGGAAAATACTCGGGCGTCTTGAAGCCTGAGGACTGACACTTATAAGTATTTCAAACATAAATGACGAAAACTTGTAAGAGCAGACTATGATCATGCGGCGGAAGAACCCATGGAGTCTTACAGGCACACATGCGGGCTAGTCTACGGCTGCAGCCTAAGGGAAGTCTATTTGACGACTGTATTCTAAGTCAGTTCACAATTCCTGACCATCGGCCGTAGCCTTCTGAGGGTTCCTGGTAACCCTCGTAAAGAGAGACAATGAGGTGTGGCTGGTTTAGGTCACAGGGCGCAGTTGGAGTCAGCCGAACAGTTGAAAACATCAAGACTGAGCGAAGAAAGCGATGGAAATGAATAAGGCACTACAGGCAGATGACGAAAAAAGCTGCAACAAATTTCGTCCAGGTTGCGGAATTGAACAAAGATATCGGGGTCTGACATTGTTTCTTCCATAAAGAGCCTCCTGATGCAGGTCCTGCAGCTAGGACGAGGTCAAAGACACAAGGGTTCCTGCAGAAGAGTGGCTTTTGGGATGACCTCTTGTGAACAGTGATGCAATTCCAGGCAACCTCTATTTCCCTGGTCTACTGCTAGTTCCTCTTAGAGGTACTAAGATTCATTGTCTGTGAGCAACAATCTTACAGACCGTATTAGCAGTTGAACTTCTCCGTGGATGAATTGCGAAGATGTTGGTGATATCATGATGTTGCGCTACAGGTAATGTGGCGCAGACAGTAGAGCACCAGCCACATCCATCCTGTCAAATCAAATACATTATGAAGTGTTGGACTTGGACGTTGCAACTGTCAGTCCAGCAATGAATCCATCATAATCTGGATCTCAAGACCATAATACTACACTTATGCGCTTCAAATCGCCGTCGCACCAACTTGATAGCAGAATCCACAGCCTTCTTGAAGGATTGATGCCTGATTCCTTCGTTCATGTGGACGAGCAACTACAGAGCTGAAGAGGCATATGGATTTCGCCACTACGTTTTCAGCTAGGTTCATTCCTTCAGAGGACGGCAGGAGACGGGAGTTCAAAAGTCTATGCACGATGATAAGCGCAAGGCTCCCTCGCTATGCCCACTTTTCCATGAACTTTTCTTGGCTCCTGTCACGTTGGTAGAGCACGTCCAAGTTGAGCCGTTCGATCCCCTTCTGAAGTTGGCCCAAGTGTGACTCGAGATCACTGAGCTTCTTCTCTTGTTCCACATCCAAAAGTGAGATCTCAAATTGAGAATGTTCGCTCAGCGCGGATGCAAGAAGTTGAGAAGCTTGCTCACTTGGAATCAATCCAGCCGCCATGGGTAAATTAGCACCGACGCTAATATTGCGTAGGCACTCAACAATGTGCTGTTTCTTATCAAAGAGAGCATTTTCGCCGCAATCGTCTTTTCCTTCTTCCTCCTCTGATTGGAACACGGACTCCAGCGACAGACCAATGCGGCGCAGAACGCCCGCGATGGCCTGGAAATCTGAAGTATCCCTGCGCTTCTCTGGAGCAGTAGGGATGCATACCAGTGGAGTAGAACGCCTCCTCATACTCTGTGTCTCTCGCCTTGAAGAATGCTTTTCGGAAAATTGATCACCTATTTCCGTCCTGTAGGTAGCTGTAAGAGCCTCAAGAGTCGCGCAATATGATTCGCGACCCTGCAGGATCTCTCCAAGACTCCCGATAGACGACGTCATGCCAACGATGGTATCCAGAATCTACGAGATGATCAGCTATTGAATCGCGAACAGATTGCGACGATAAGTCCACCAACATATTCAAGCCTTCTGTGGGAGGCCATTCGCAGCTGACCGTGGACATTCTGAAGTTCACGTAGTATGGGCTCGCTGAATAGCTGCTTTGTGGACATCTCGGCTAATAGGTCAATCTCCGGGTATAAGGACTCTAGTTCATCACCCAGGGTCACCAAAGCCTCCTCTTCCGGTCCTGTTGCTCTGTCGGCCGTATCTGCCCGGCCCGCTTTGACACTTTCAAGATACAGTCGGTCGAGGCGGTGGTGTATCTCTTCCGCCATGTATTCCGCAAGTAGTGAACCCAGTTCGGATGCTCTCTTGGTTATAGAGGCATCGTCAGTAGTAAACTGTATTTCGGAAGCGATTTGTTCGAGATCTGCAAGTATCCTGTCATCGTCCTTTACCCGGACCGCCAGCGCAGATAGAATCTTTCTGCCATCGTTGGTTACTCTCTCCAATTCGGTTTTTAAGCTCGCTTCTAGCTCACGCGCAAGGTCACTAGACTTGGGAAACATTAGTCCTCAATCGTTCTGCGATAGGTCACATATTGGTATATTACCGAAGCTGCGATATGTTGCCTTCCACTTTCATGCTTTTGATGTAGGCGTTCTACTTCTCTTTGCTGTCGAATTCCTCGCTGTTCTCGCAGACCCGACTGTCTATTCAGAATTTCGCATTGGGAGTTCAGTATCTTTGTTTGTGCTTGGATCGCAGATGTGGATATTTTCAACGATTCGATCGCACTGCGAAGGTCATCGTCCAAGAATGGTCGTGTCGAGGCAAGATCTGGATCGGGGAGGATGTTTTGCAAGGCGCCGGAGTCCTTCAATGTTGTGAATCTTTGCAGATACAATTAGCGACAATGGCCTATCTGCCTCAAAACGGTGAGGATGAAGATTGAATGAGGGTGGGTGGGAAAGGTAGAAGGAACATACAGTGTGAGCTCCTCCTGCGAAAGCAGCGTGTCGGGTCCGAGATGCTCCTCCACCCATTGAATGTTCTCAGCATTTTTGCTGTTGTTGATCAAAGCTGACTCGACTTCGTTGCGATTGATTGGAAGTTTGCGATCTTTGAGAGCGCAAATAACTCTGTCCGCTGGATTGACTGCGGTCTCCCTTTCCATTGTTTTGATATGCTTTGGTGCGGAGGAGTGAACCAGAATCGCGCCTAAGGTTCACTCATAAGTACCTACCATGGTTGCACTCCCGCCCTAAAACAGTTCCAGGACAATTGTGTGATAGACTGCATTTCGTAACACAGTTTAATCTTTCGATTCCCTTGCGCATGTCTCGTATTTAACTACGATATCAAAGCTATCCAAGCACTTGAATTGCCTTTCCAACAACCAGACATGCAATCTAAAGCTTCAATTAACATCTATTACAATCCCGCAACTCCAATCATGCTTATCTGCTAAAACAAATTATTCAAAACAATGCACCATTCAAGAGAAAAATGAAACAGATGCCAAAAGAAATGTTCATGACTCAGAACAAATCATTCGGCATGTTGGCCCGACTCGGCTTCCACCTTGGGGTAGTACCAAGTTGTAACAGCAATAATGACATACACGAGCACGCAGAGACCTCCCTCAAGGTAGTTGGACTTCCCATCGCGCAAGAAATTTCCAACCACCAAGATCGACAGGACGACGAGGACGATCATAAAGATTTCGAAGTTGAGACCCATTTCTTTGTCAAGGCACCAGCCCACAATGACTGCCAGCGGCGCGTTCAACAAAGCTGTCTGGATTGAAGGGCCGAGACAGTGGAAGAGCGCGAAATTGATTTGGTTGTCCCTAACAGATGTTAATTTGTGGGAAATGCAGCTGGATTCATCTTCAGGTCGAACTCACCAGGCTTCGTCAATAGCGGTCAGATGTTCTGCTGCCTTCTCGACCAGAGGAACCAAGATCAGACCCATAAAGTTATCCGAAACCCCTCTTTCAACAATGGACTCGATTTCTTCGACCAAGAAGACTGCCGACATGCACACGAACGTGAGTGACAATGCTATAGCCACGAAACACTCGGTCAGAGTGAGCTTCGTGCGCTGCAGTTCTTCATCTCGATCCTCATCGCGGTGCTCGTCATTCTCAAGAACTTCATCGAAAATACTGTGATGACTATGCAGATTATAGAACAGGAACCTGTGCAACTGCGTGAGTGGACGCGATCCTTAAAGGCTGTCCAAGGACGGAGAGGCTTACATGAGAAAGGCGACGAGAAGAATAACAGAGGTGGATCGACTGATGACCAAAGTGGAATGATCCAAAGCTTGTTGAGTGATGGTCGCTTTGGTTGAACTCGAGCTTAGGGCCGCGTAAAAGGCGCTCGGAATCAACAGACCAAAACCTGCAACGAGCAGAAGCCCAGACCCGACCTCACTTACAGCTTCATGAAACGACTGTTCATGGCGTCTGAGACCTCCAAAGAAGAAGCACAACCCCAGGCAAAGCAGCAAATTCGCAAGAATCGAGCCCAGGATAGCGGCCTGGATGACTGGAATCAGGTTTCCCCCGTTGTCATTGTGGATCAAAACCATGAAGAGCACGATCTCCACCACCGAA